TGCTTTTTATCGCTCCCCCTATCCTTTTGCGCCTACCCTTGGTCAACGTATACAGCTGCCATCCCTTCGTCATTCGCACGCCCTGTTTCAGTTTGGCATCAGCCCTACATTGCGCCCTTCGCAATTTTCTCCCCTTTTATCTTTTTTTTCGCGTTCGTTTTGTTATCGTTATTTCACCCTTCTCTTTTTGGCCTCGCCTATCTATCTGCCACTATCTCGCTATTCTTTCCTCCCACTTTGTCTGGTTCTTCGATTCCTGGGCAAATATCTCGGTTAACCCATTGGCAACTTCAGCTGAGCGGCGCAATTTTTCATCCTTTTAGAAACACCCTCGATAAAAACTATCATTGAACCATATTCGTCTCCCGGCTTGCTTTGTGCACAGAGCTTGTTGCTGGACCCACGCCGGTGATTTGACAGAGTAATGCAACCCTATGCACAATCAGTCTAATGACAATGGATTAATTAATCACTACGTCAGAACGCCACGACGTACATTGGGGAAAGTCGGTCGTTAGGGAGATCGATTTTGAAGCTCCTATCTCTCTCCGAACGTGTTTTTTGCGCTTGATGCTTTTGTTTGCACGAATATATTCTGTTTCGCAAAATATTTAACCACGTAAAATGCAAAAAAGATTTATCATCCAACTATGATCATAAATATATTGTCAAGTTCTATCTAAAAATCATCTCCCTCTAAGCGTAAACTGTAAATTTTTCAAAAATCTGAAAACATTAATACACATATATATTTAAACATAATTTAATTTTTTTGTTGAACTAAAATATCGGATAGTTGTAATTGAGGTTTGCAATATTCTAAATCCTAAATTATTGATTTCCGTGATATTACCGGTCTTTGCGGGCCATGAGATTTTATAAGGCACCTTCAGGGAAATTGACCCGCGAAGTGTACGTACTGTTGGCATAAAGAAAGAAGAGGTTCATAAGGCAGGACTGTAGAATATCTCATAAGATAAACCAATATTATAAATTATTCGGATCCATTTCAAGGAGTCGGCAAAGGAGAGACTCCGAGCGAGCAGTGGCTTCCGCATAATGCGAAATGGTATAATAACTGGCACGACGGCGACCTTCCATCAGCCGCTGCCATCTTGAATTTACGGAAAAATTATCTTATCGCCTCGCTTTTCTCATCTCGTACCGCGAAATGAATCCCAACTATTTTCGAAGACGCGTTCGCTTTCGTCGGACGAAGACTTGGGTTTGAGCGGAGAGAAGAAGCGAGATCGAGGAAACGCATTTTGTTGTCGGTTCTCTATCATCTCGCGACGTGTATTTCAAATGCATATAATGTCGCTAAAAATTGCACTCTCGAAAAATCGCATTAGAAGAACGCTTTAGAAGAACAGCCTCTTTATCGTACTGAGAAAAGCTCACCAGACGTCCGTTGCCATGCGCCATTAAGAATCTCGCCCATTGTGAATCAAAACAATCCGATGGCGGCTTTAACGAATCTTCAGACACCGAAGTAGCTTCTGTCTTTCGTACCGAAAGCGGTTCTAAGACCTTTAGATACCGCGGAAGCTGTTGCGGTGAATGCACATTGAACGGCATTCAGTTAACTACGAGGCAGCTTCTCTCGCGGCTCCGTAAGGGAGGGAGGATTTCTCAAGATAGATCCTGCGGAGAGGTCGGCCAATGCCGCCACAACACCGCAAGGCTCAACTCGGATGGTCGCATGGGGATTTGGGGTTTAACGTTGGTCAGGTTGCACCAACAAGCCTCGAAACCTTATCTCGAAATCGCCGCGATCTCTCGTGCTGGCCCAGGCCATCCCAGAGGATCGCCCCAACAGCTGCTCCGGTTCGCCGCGATTAACGACGGCTTATAAAACCAATGTTCTCCGTCTCAAATTAGGGGACGAAGTACGGCCGGTCGTCGCGAAACTTTCTACCAGATCTGGAAATTGGATCCGCAACATTGGGGAATGAGGATGGGAAGCGACCCAATTATACGAGAAGTTCTATCTAGATTGTAATTTCGTTAACCAGTCGTGGATTATCGCCGAAGAAAACTTTGCACGGTGACAAAGCGATACGGTAAACGTACGTGATACGGTAAACGCACGACGTCGCCTGGAATCTGATTAATCTCCGCGAACCGATTCAGGGTTAACGGCAAATATTGTCCTTCCGTCCGGCACTTTTGTAGTCCTTGACGCCGCGCGAGAGCTTCGAGTATACCGGGAAGATAGCGAAAGGCTGATTAAACACGGCCCGTGTTTCACCTCGAGTAATTAAAGAGCCTCCGCGGAACCTCCGGGCCTCGAGCACGTCGAATAAACTTCGTATCCCCATTGCCAGGAACTAAAGATATCCACCAACTGTAAAGACCGCGGCATCTATCGCTGGCGTTTCCTTCTCTTTCTCTTTCCTTCTCTTTCTCTGTCGCTTTAGCTTGCCACATGTCTGTTTCTATCTCTCCCTTTCTCCCTTCCTGCCATTTCTGCCTCTCTTTTTCTTATTTGCGCGCGTGAGAAGTTGGATTAGATAAGTTTGTCGTTTAGTTAACTGCGGATGAGCTTGGCTTAGTTGATCCATGCCGAGAGTCTCTCCGAGATTTTGGTTTTGTTTGATGTGCCTCGGTTTGGCGCGGGAAACGAAGTCTCCTTGGCTGTCTGCTAGAAGTGCCGCCGCTCAAGTGGTTTCCGACTGTTATTGGCCCGGCAACCTCGCACGGCGTCGCGGGTTTTCGCCTACGAACTTTCGACTTGACGAATACCCCGTTTCCTGTCCCGGCGATACGTCGTATTCAATTTCCATCGATACGTAAAGGCCGTATTGCGCGGTCTGCGGAAACCTCGAGTTTCCCAATACTGGGATTGACCGGGTGTGGCGTGTGAAACGAGGTCGCTCACTCTATCGCAGATATAGAGTGTGAATTGGGTTCCATCGGCTCGAACTTTCTAGCTTTTTTATCATTTCTGCGCCGTGAACGAACGTAAATGTCCATCAATTTTTCTGACATCGTCGTAGCTCATTCATAAGATTATCCAAACTTTATCACATATTTAATAAAATGAACTTCGTGGTGAATGAACGTTATGGTATTTTATAATAAATAATAATGCGTAATAAAGGTAATATTTTAGATTATATGGTTAAAGCTTTATCATTATCAAAAGTAAGAAAAAAATAATAAAAGTTTTTTTTTAATGCAAAAATAATTTTTGCTTATATCTCTTATGAGCAGTGAAATGAAAAAAGGCACTCAGTCAAGTTTGTTCCAAACTTTTATATTTTAGTGAATATGAATACGATACGAGATATTGCTTTTTCTCCTTTTTCCATTTTTTACATTTTGAAAAAAATGTTGACTTTGTCAATGCTCGCTTGTGACATCATTTTTCAATAAAATCTTATTAATAAAAGGACAGCAATTAATTTATTCCAAAATTGAGTGACTAATCTTTTTGATTGTCAATTTTGAAGACGGCTGTGTGCAATTTGCGAAAGAAGCAAAGGATTCGAGTCGGTTGTCGAGCGGGATTATTCTATGCTAACTAATCCCCGTGTGATGGATCCTGCGAAGATGTCGACTTAATTTCTCGGTCCCCCGAGTAATTTGTTCCGGATAGCGGCGAGCATTAAATAGATGTAGACCCATCGAGGCTCTATGACGGGCTTCCCCTCGTGTCTCTCCGCGCTTCGGCAGACGAGGTCTCAACGCATCCGCGAAAGTGGGGGACAAACGATAGCCAAGAGTAATTTTACGGGGGTCGAGCAATCTACCTTACCATGACCTCTCTTCTGTAGGACCATCCTCTCTTTTATCTCTTATCTTCCTTTATCCACCTACGTCTCTCTTGTTCTCCGTCCGCCCATCACCACCTCAAGTTCCTTTCCCTTCTCGTATAAGAGCTTAAGTGGTTATTTTCTCCGGAGATATGGGACGTGCACGACGAGCGATGAAAACCCTCTGTAGGACACAGCCCTGTTCTTACTGCGAACAGGTGAAGATAGTACGTGTACGCCATCGCGTATGAGTATACTGAACACCGAATGTTGTGTGAGATAGGGATAATATTTCGCGTTTTTGCCAGTCTGAAAATACTTTACACAGTCCTAGACACGACGTCTCGGCTGACGTTGTCGCGACACGATGTAAAGCTCGAGACCATGCTCGAGGATTTGCGGGGAACGTCACAAAGGTGTACGAGATATGGCGCTTGCATCACAAATGTCTTGTGTGATAACATCATGCCCCCGTTTTTGTTAAGATATCTTGGATTCATTCATTTGGTTTGCTAATCGTGAATTTTAACTAATTGCCACGATATAATCATCGCGTTATTGTATCACGATAGTGACACGGTTTTGAAAAGGATCGAGGCAGGGTCGAATATCATTAAACCTCGTTGACGAAGGTCGACCGATATTTAGTTAGCATAATTACCCGTCTGTAGGCCGAGCGCTATCGCGGCGAATCTTTCAAGGTAGTGATGAAGCGTGAACGGAAGGAGCCTAACGGAGGTCAGACAAGAGGGGAGACAATAACGGGAAAAGCCTCTTATCGGGTTCGCAGTTGTCGTTAATTAGAAGGTTTACGATGGAAGGCGATGGAAGAAGAAGAAGAAGAAGAAATAGGATAGAAACATACAAGTTGTTCCGCTAAAACACATAAAAGGCTCGTTAAGGGGCGAACGCTCTTGTGGCCTAACTATGTTACTAATTTGGTGTTATGCGAACGTTAATAGTAAAGAACATAACTCGTGCTCAAGCTACCATGTTGCCGAGGCCGATAATGACCGGCATTTCGCCTGCAAAACTAATTTCTATATTAGCATAATAGCGAGCCGCACGCCAAATCTTTAATGATGCCAATTTCATCTTTATTTATTGTATATATGTGTATGTATGTATGTGTATATAACACACACACACACACACACACACACACACACACACACACACACACACACACACATATATTATAAGATGTTGTACTGATTATGTTGTTCTTTTTATCATTTTCAGCGACGTCCGCATCCATATCGTATGTATTTATTGACTAAATTAGTATACATATACTAAGTCATTTTAAAATTGATTATTTCTACAAGAAAATATCAAGTTAGCTAAAAGTTATCTTTCAGATAATGAACGGTTAAAAATTTTTTTAAATTTTCTAAGTAAAAGAAAGCGATACGTCTTGATCGCATCTTATGCGTGGAATAAAGGAGCTTTTACTTTTCTTGTTCATAATTTTGTTTGACTCTTTATGTCTTCGAGAAATAATATTAAAAGTGGAAAACTCGATAATCGTCTTATTCTTAGCTAGAAATACGATGGAGAAGAGGACTACAAGCTATCGCGATAAAAAGTTCTTGCAAAACCGTATTTATGCGAGTTTCGCGTCGACTTTACACTGATGGGAGTTTCAGTTTTTAACATTATCCAGGTTACAGCGTTATGCCTGAGAGCATTAGGAACTTGGAGATCGCGACGTTTGCGCGGATTTACCATCACCGTTGAATTTTAATATTTTAAAGCGAATGGATGACGCATTATTCATAACAGGCGGGGCGCGTAATGCGTATTCATGACGATGAATGATTAATTCGATTATTAAGGCAAGCGTATCGACAAGTGCATCGTCGTCGACCGAAGAGTAATTACGAGCCGCGCGTTTCAAAACAGCCTGGTTTCTTGCATATTAATATGGCTTGCCGTGCGGAGGCAGGAACGTTAATAATCACTTAACGGGCTTTAAAGTTACATCGCGCCAGCCTGGCTGGGAGCTTAGTTTTGTTCGAGATTTATGGGCCGCGCGCAGTTTCGAGAACGCCTCGACGGTCTTATAGGTATACACGCGCCGCCATTTCGGGAGAATCCGGTTTTCACCATAGCTTTGGCTGGTACGCACCCGAACATTCATCGGGATTAGAACCACGGTACGGTGCTACATGTACTACGTGTACTTGCTAGATGGATCCTGCAAGCGTTTCCCGCGTTTAACGTATTAATTTTCATGTGTTGCGAAAAGAATCCGGTTATATTAAGCGCGTATGGTGTATTTACGTTTATCTTGAAAATCGTCTTGAAGATCGTCTTGAAAGTTATCTTGAAAACCAATGAGATTTGCGGCGCCACTGTGATCAATTATTTAAATTCTGCCTTCCGTCGGGGAACCTTTCAATTTATCGTTTATACACGAAAATATTCTTGAAATGGTTCAGACGTGTTTTTGCAACACTCCCGCGATTGTTTGCCTCCGGGATCTCTCACGGTGACGAGCGGTTTCAAGGGACGCGTATTTACCTTCTCGAGGAAGGGGGACCAGAGCTGCGTGATACGTCAAAACGGATGCGATGCAGATCGCCGGGTTTTCCACATCGCTCTCCTTCGACACTACACAATGCGTCTTGAGAATTCAACGAGTATCGCAAAAAGGGATCCCGTGGATGGCATTCGCGCCGGAAGAAAGTCATGGTTTCGTCAGCTGGGCGTTTCGCATGGATGTGAGATGATGCATCGCGGACCGGTTAGGTAAACGTTGCATTTGCATCTAAAAGAGTCTGCCAGTAGTTTATATGAAAATGTAAAATGAAACAGTATTTCACATTGGATCTCTTCCGCACTACGTTCTTTCTCTCTCTTTCCCCTTTCCCCTTTTCGCCTTCGTTCTCTTTTCTGCCCCCCTCCTCCTCCTCCCCCGATCTTGCTTTCCCTTCTAAGCTGCTTGGCGAGTACTGTCTGCACGAACTGCACCACAAACGTAGCCGGTAGAATCAATTTTCTTCCTTCGCCCGGAGAAATTGGAAGGTTACCACAAATATTTGCCCAGACCTATTAAAGGCACGCAATGCGCCGTCGCGGAAAACGATTGGCCGTTTGCAATCGATAATCACCGATCGATATCCTTGCGTGGAATTTTGCACGGCCGTTTTCCGAAATGTAGAATATATTGCAATGCGATTTTTCTCTCGTGCGACCGCGATAGGAAAAAAAATCACTTTGAACAGAATTCATCCGTGATGCTTCACAACCAAGATGGAAACACTTTTGCACACCTAGATACATTCAGGCCGAAAGATGGAGTCGTTACCGGCGAGACACCATCTGTTCCCGGCAGAAATTTCATCCCTGCGGAAAAAGCGAGCGTGATCGGAGAAGGGTGGATATAGCTAGCAGCTACACGATGACCCGACAAAATGTTGTTGGCTCTCTGTATAGAGCCGCAGTAAATCCACCGGTTCGTTGGGTGCTACCTGATCCGAACCAAGTGGCGGATTTACTCTTGGGCTCTAAGAGGCGATAACTTGCGGTTATGTTATCGGAATTGCGCTTTAACGCGGAATCACCGAAGCGCGAATCGCCGGTACCTCATAATGGAAAATGTGGCGGGACTCGTGCTGCCATCGATAAATCAACGTACTCCTCAAATCATCGCACAATCGTACAATTGTCATTAATATAAATTAACAAAAGAGACTTACATCAGTCTTTAGGTATTATAGTTACCGCGGATCTCTTTTTCCCTTTGAAATGCAGAATATCAAAACTTTATGCATAAATTTGTATGAATTTCCTAAATATGTACGCGCGAGAGGTAGAAACCGAAAAGAGCGAAATGTATTCGACCCCGCAACGCATACGGAATACAGACGTCGTTGAAGTTAAACGGGGCAACGGATAGCGCACGTGTTTCGAGCACGTAATTGCGAGATGGCATAAAAAAAATAGGTGAATGGTATGCGAAGTGGTGGAGAGAGATCTCTCCACTGCACCTTGTCGACCGTAGCAGAAATGACCCTCTATTACCCAAAAGCGCCCGAGGTAGCGCGACGAGAGAGCGACTTTGATAACGCGCTTAACTAAGCGACTAAACGGATGTAAATCTATGCAGATTGCCTGCTGACAAAAATCTCGCGTACTCGAGAGTCGCGCTGGCTCGCCACGGCTGCTCTCCGATTCCGCCGGTAGTTTCCTGCAGGCGGAGTGTGCACTTAAAGGACACCCTTGGGACGAATTAGGTCGCTAATGGCGCGTCGTCGGGTCGCGATAGGTACCAACTTCGGGGACGCTTCTCGTTGTTCAACGGCGCGTCTATTCCACGCAAATCCGCAGTGCCATGTCTGATTTCCGCGTCCGACTTCCACTTTACAATGTCGCGCGCGCGCGAATTATCGTCGCCACGAGACGTGACAATACATACGGGGGTGCGGGGTTTATTCCATTCATGTGTGCGGCCGCGAGCTCTTTGGAGTTCGAAAGCCTCGGAAAAGCGCACGGCGTACAACCGCATATTTTCGACCGATTGTCAGCGCCGTGTTTCTCACTGTCGCGCGATTAAACGCGACCGAAGGAAGGAAGGTTTTCCTTTGTCCCGGTGAAATAAAAGGCACCGCGAGAATCGACGCTTTTTCCCACGGGATCCGGATCCTAGGTGATCGTTTAATTGGCAATCCACGAGGGAGAAAGGGCGCCGTGGCACACCAACCCACGAAATAAAACGGCCGCCGGCAACCGTAGGTACTGACGCCCAATCTAACTCGATGGTTCGTTCGGATTGGCATGGTTTCATATGGGGATGAGAGAAAGAGAGAAAAAGGAAGAGCGGGAGGAAGAGGAGGAGGGAGGACCGGATAACAAAACCCGTGCAATGTAAATGTATGTAGATTGGTCACTCTTTTTGCGGCATTGTGTGTGCAATTTAGCACCGTGGTATCCTCTACCCTCATTCACTCTCTCTCTCTCCTCCCTCTCTCTCTCTCTCTCTCTCTCTCTCTCTCTTCTCTTCTTCTCTCTCTGTTGGTTGTCGTAACTTAAGTTACGTACCGTCGGTACGTCTCCTACCTCCTCCTCTCTCTCTCTCTCTCTCTCTCTCTCTCTCTCTCTCTCTCTGTCCATCCCTTTCTCTCTTTTTTATGTGTTCCTATGCTATCACTCTCCCTTTTCCTCTTCCCACAGATCCCTTTTATCCTCGCTCTTTCCCGCTGTCTCCGAATAATCACCTTCTCTCGGTAATTACACCCCCGCCTGTCGCTGACCTCGAGTTCCCTGATTTATGCCGTTCTGTCCGCTGACGTCTAACGATCTCCAATGTTACGTATCGGCATTTGCCTCGGCGCTTTCCCAATGCCAGAATCACCGGTGACTACCAACGCTCCCGTCATCGTTCCTATCGGAATGCGATCATTCATCCGCGCGGTAACGCTAAACGTTACCGCGCCGTTGAACGCACCCCCGCTTTATTCCACCCCGAAACGTATTCCGCATTCGGACGCGGCGTGCAACGATGATATACCGTGAACGCATGTAGAAGCTATGCGACATTAGTCAGCTTCTGCGGATTAAATTGCCCGTGGATTGATCGCGCGTTATAAAAATAGCTTTAAAAATTTTGTTTTGCTCTGTGCGTATACGTTACTATTTATTTCGAAACAAAAATCTGCGAATATGTATTTGATCGATTTTT